ATATACTCAGTGTAGTTCTATTAATAGGGTATGAAAGAACAGGGTGTATGATGATCTTATCTCTATTTTTATGGAATAGCGATGTTACTTTCTATATATCCTCGACATAGATATAATTAAATTCAATAAATCAAATGTACTATGATAAAATTTTATACTAAACATATAAAGTTCAAATCCTTGATTCGTATGTAAGTATCGATGACAAACTCTTACCTAACAACCTTGAGAAAATGACAAAAATGATCCCTTATGCTTGGATTCTAGTCATTTAAGTTTGTAAAAAAATGAGTATTTTTAATCTTTGTCGAATATTTAATAAACTGATCTGTCTGTTTGATTTCACAGAAACTTTAAAGGAAAAAAATGGATTTAGAGGAAACTCATATTTTTCTAGTATAGTTTATGTTTAATGTCTAGTACATTTTTGCGTTACAGTTTCTAGAATTTGATAAAACTTTATGATGTTTATGGTTTCATTTTTTTTTTTGTATGTACACAATTAATTACCATATATATAATATAAGAAACTGAATTTATTCAATATTAAAATGAAACTATTTTGAATCTACCCTAAACCTAAAGGACCACATTTATCATTTTCTCTAACTTCATTTGTTCATCCAAAAATTGTGCAGACAGACAAGGCCTCTTTACTAGCAGAGGCAGTAAGGTGTGTAAGGGAACTAAAGCAGACAACATCAGAACTAGGAGCAATGTCGGAAAACGACGACGACGATGATCACACGACATTAATGACAAAATTAATGTTTCCGAGTGAATCGGATGAATTAAACCTAAGTTATTGTAACGATAGTAATAATAACAATACTGATAATAATAACAACTCGGAGTACGATGGGGCAATAATAATAAAAGCATCAATGTGTTGTGAGGATAGGCCAGAAATTATGATGGAATTAAGAAGGGCATTGAGTACAGTAGAAGGAAAAATTGTAAGGGCAGAAATGTCAACAGTAGGAGGAAGAATTAAGTGTATTTTGTGGCTAGAAATGTTAGAAAATGGATGCAAAGAAGGGCTATTAGTGCAATTGAGAAGGGCATTAAAAGTGGTTATGGACAAGGCAAATTTTGGCCCACAAAATATGGGGCAAGATTTGTTGGGAAATAATAAAAGGCCACGTTTAGTAGGGGGACCAATGAATTATGTTTGCAAAAATGGACAGCTCTAAAGAGACAAAGATTTGTGGACATAATGAGCAAAAAGTGTTAATTGTGGAAAAAAAGTTTGTAAGTGTTTTGTTTTTTGGTTTGTCTCTTCTTCTTTTTCTTTTTCATTGAGTGGTTTTTGTATGATTATTTTAATATTTGGATTTGTGTTTAAGTTAGGAGTCGTTTGTATGTTAATTTTGGTATTTATATAATCTTTTGTTTGGTAGTATTTTCAGCTTATACATAGTAAATCATGAAATTTATATGAGGGTATTATTCATGTTCTAATACAGTTTATTTAGTACCTTAATACATTGTCCTTGATTATCCGAAAAGGCAAGCTAAGTATCATTGGCTTGGTCAATTTTTATCTGACCAACTACCAAATACTACGCAAGCTCATCATATTCAATTAATTGTTTATTTATATTTCATGTCATATTTCTGTTAACTAAAGAACATTTTTGAACCTCTTTTTTAAATAACATTTTTGAACTTAGAGAATATGTTTAGGACATTTTTAAACCAATAGGTGGAAGGGGGTGTTTTTGAACCATTTTTAATAGGTTGAGGCATTTTTGAGCCTTTTCCGTTCCTTTAATAAACAAAGCAATCAGTCGATAAAAGATAATGTAAATATAATTAATCTTAGTATTATTGATCTCATGATTACTGATATATCATATTGATCAGTACTATTCGTGTACATTATATCAAAAAAATAAAAAAATATTCAAACCTTTCTGAAAATATTAATGGCTGATTTAATTGCTATTTGGAGCTGAAAATTTGAGATTCAAAAGAAAAAAAAAGAAATCGTCGCCTGAGAGATTCGAACTCTCGCGGGGAAACCCCATGTACTTAGCAGGCACACGCCTTAACCACTCGGCCAAAGCGACTTGTTGACATATTTTGGAATATATATTTAATAAATCACTATATTTGATATTTGTTTTCTTTTTATCATGTGTTTGATGTTCCGTATCCGCTTTGGATCCTATTAATCTAGATTCACGTAGCAAAGTACCATACCATCAAAGACGACACTATATTTCTAGGACTCAAACCCAAGATCTCCAGGGGTGGAGGTTGTCTTTAACATATGTGTGTGGGGCTTTGGGCTGAACCCAATATCTTTGATCTAAAATTTAAATTTAGAACCTAGCTAGTTACTAACACTTGAGGTGATGTCGTTATTCTAGAATCTAAGAATCCAAAATTTCAAATTCTGAATTTATCTTTATATTTGTGTCTCATTGTTGTATGAATTTATGAATTCTAGTGTTGTAGTTTTTATGCGTCCTTTGACATTAGGCTACTAATTTTGTTGAGTCACCTCTTAAACAAAAACTACCTCTAAAATATAGATACTAGACAAAGAAAAAGCTTAACTATGATAAACGAAAAAAACACAAATAATTAGTTAAAAGCAACAGAAAAGTACATCAAAACTCTGTTTCACAATCAAAACATAAAACAATCAGACAATTCAAAAAACAGTACACATCACTCTGAAAATCAACTCGAAAACATCCGAAAACAAACGACAGAACAACTACTAGTATAGTAGGATGGTGCTTCAAGATAAAATTAATTAGTTGGATGGAGGAGATGAAAGTGTAGGAATGTTTGGAAGTAATGGCATGTTAGGCAGAGGATTCATGGTTGGCATTGGTGGCAGAGTCATTTTCGGGACGATAGAGGGAAATGTGGGCAAAGATGCAATACTTGGCAATGGTGGCAATGTGAGTGGAAAGTTGGGCAATTGTGGCATTGTTGACTTAGGCAATGACGGGATCGTAGGCAAGTTGGGAAGTTGTAGTAGGCTACGAGCACCATGACTTGTCGATATGTTTGATAAGGACAACAATGCTACCATCACAAAAATAATTGAGTAGTTGATGGAAGCAGCCATTCTGTTAATTTTCTCTAAAATTGTTTTGCTTGCACAAGGAAATTAAGTTGTGTTTATGAGTTGAGTTTGATCATTTACTAAAGGGTGTATATATATAGGGGAAGTTCTTTGGTGAAATGTTGGGTGAAGAAACATAGGCTTTTTAAATTCTTAATACTTTATTGTTAGTTAATCTTCCTAAATAATGTTGGGTTGAGGAACATGCACCAACTTTTAAGTCAATAAGTTTTTGTGAGAATAGTTATGTATAGATGAAAATTGGATCAACCATATTTGATGGACAATTGAGTATTCGGAACATACTAGTCAGACTAATTCAGATTCACATCACGTAGGACCAATTAAAGGGATTATCGCTCTCTTTCAAGGATTTCTTCATACCAGAACTTGAGCCCAAAATATTTGGTTAAAGGCAAAAGTATCCTGACCATTTAACCACATCTCTAATTGTTTATTGTTTCTTTTTTATTTTGCTAATAATGTATGTCTATTGACTCTACCAATGTTGTTCAACTACCTAAGAGGTATGTTTGCTTGCCTAATAATTGATGCTCAAATAACTAATCAGCTCAACAATATTTTGAAGTCTTTTAACACATTTAGTTAAACAATCAAAAGGGCAACCAAGTTTGGTAGTTTTACTCTTATTCAGAGTCTCTTTTTTTCCACAAATAACAATCATTAGATTACAAAATCAATTGGTAAAAATTTAGTCGCATCGAGTGTTTACAACAAACCAATGAATGCAAGACATATGTCTAGCATATATACTTTTTAATACTTAACTATGGTTAAGTGATATGCATTTTCACTCAGATTGTTTGATTCATAAAAGATAATCGTCTAACTAGGGGAAAACGTCAAGTGCAAATATGTATTTACCAAATCAATTTATTTGATCATTCAAGTTTTGTTTTTTGAGGAATCTAAACTAATGCACATGAAAATATACTGCTTTCCAGTATAATTTATTAAGTGATTTAATGAAGTGAAAATACACATTAACTAACCATGGTTAAATGATAGTTGTGTATCTACCAACACATATTATACATTCATTGATTTAGTGTAAATACTTGATACGAGATAAGTTTTTACCTTCTTAAAAGCGTCCTAATTAATAACAACAATTACGTGCTGAAAATTTACAAATAGAGTAAAGATAATTTGCACTGATATTGGAGTGCACTGCTTGTTCTGCTGAACTCCTTTACAAAATTTACTCGAGTATTTTATTGGCATAATACATAAACAAACACTCTCAACTGGCAAGTAAGTATTTCAATTTTGAGAGTGCACATCTAGACAACACCTGAACTCGTCTCCACTATGTTAATTAAACACTCCAACTTACAAAAATGATCATCTAGACACCTCTAGAGTATGTGTTAGGTCAACATCAGTTGTCCACGAGACAGAATAGGGACGATTTGGAGTGTTTAGCTGTCAATTGAGATGTCTAGATCTGTTACTGTCAAAGTTAGAGTACATACTTGCTAGCTCAGACCAAGTTTGAGTGTCTGTTTATGAACTAGCCGATTTTAATTCTTTTTTTGCATAATTTCTTAAACCCTTTTCTTAGTAGTATGAATCACTGTTACTTCTCTAAATGCAATGACATCTGATTGTGCGCGGAAAAACAGTTATATTCAAATTTGCTCAAAAAAATGTATGTACGTTGATCTTCGTGTATTAGGAAAATATATTGGACAAATAACATACATGAATCAGTAATAGACACTGCATTGGATTAACACAAATGACAATCAATGTATAGCACTCAGAAGTGTATAAATGATACAGTACATTGTCGAGAATCACATAAAAGATTAAAATTACAAACAAACAAAAAGCGCGGTAGAGACCAGTATGGTAAGAAAGGTAAAAATCACGTGGTTGGAAGCTGCAAAGATTAGTTGGATGGAGGAGGTGAAAGTGTTGGAATTGAAGGAATTTTGGGAAGTGATGGCATGTTGGGCAGAGGATTCGCGGGCATTGGAGGGAGAGTCATTTTCGGGACAGAGGGGAAAGTAGGCAAAGAAGGTAGAGGTGAATTAGCTGTTGGAAGTGTTGGCAGAGATGTTACACTTGGCAATGGTGGCAATGTGGATGCTGTTGGCAAGTTTGGAATATTTGGCAACTGTGGCATTGTTGGTTGAGGCAATGACGGGATCGTAGGCAAGTTGGGAAGTTGCAGTAGGCTACGAGCAGCATGACTAGTCGATATGCTTGATAAGGACAATAATGCTACGATCAACAAGAGGGCGATTGAGCAATTGCTAGAAGCAGCCATATTTGTTGTAATTTGCAAGATTGCTTTGTAAGTTGGAAATTCTGTTTTAATTTGATCAATTTCTAAATGGTTATATATAGGGAAAGTTGTTGAAAAAGTAACAATATTAGTGTATGAGGTATTTGGTGTGAAAACAACTCTATTGTTCTTAATTTTGCTAATACTAGTGACTGTTTTCTGTTGATTCTTCCAATGTTGTTCAACTACTTAGGAAATATGTTTGCTTGCCTAATAATTAAATGCTCAAATAACTAATCTGCTCAACAATATTTTGAAGTTCAACATATTTGGTTAAACAATCAACAAGGAAACCAAGTTAAGGGAAGAGTCTTTTTTCACATGGACCTATCGTTGTATGGGTGAAAGTTTATTTGCACTATGTGTTTACACAAAACCAATGAATATAAGACATATGTCTTGCATAGACACTTTTTTAACATTTAACTATGGTTAAGTGATATGCCTTTTACTTTGACAATTGTTGATTCCTAAGGTTAGTTGTTTAGTTAGGTATAAACATCTAGTACGGATAAGTATTTCACCAAATCAATTTCCTCAAACCAACATTCAAGAAGGTTAACTAACATCTAACATCTCATCCTATTTTGCCTATAGTCCTAAAGAACTTCCCCTATATAAACCCTATAGAGATAATTAAACTCAAATCAAGTGAAAACACAACATATTTTCCTCGTAAAACAAAGCCATCTAAACAAATTATACAACTATGGCGCCTTCTAGCAATTGCTCAATCCTCTTCGTGATCATATCATTATTTTCCTTATCAAGCATCACCACAAGTCATGCTGCTCGAAGCCTACTGCAACTTCCAAACTTGCCAACGATCCCATTGTTGCCTCAGCCAACAATGCCACAATTACCAACTATTTCCAATTTACCAACAGCAACCACATTGCCACCATTGCCAAGCATTACATCTTTGCCAACACTTCCAACAGCTAATACGCCATTGCCATCGTTGCCTACGTTGCCCTCTGTCCCGAAAATGACTCTGCCTCCAATGCCTGCCAATATTCCTCTTCCCAACATACCATCACTTCCAAACATTCCCACAATTCCAACACTTTCACCTCCTCCATCCAACTAATTAATCTCGTGATTTCCCACATTTTACCTGTCTTACCTCCATTGGTCTCTACTGTTTGATATTTTCGCTGTTTATTTTTCATTTGTCATCTTAATCTTTTTTATTTGTAACGCCGCATAATATCATTTGTACTCTACATATATGAGTGTTGTATGTTGATTATACAGAAAAAAATGACTTAGTATTACTGCAATGCAGTGTTTATTCTCTTCGGTTATACATGTGTATTTATCCAGTATATCAAATATCAACATTTATTGTATTTTTTTAACAAATTGGATCATATTACACATAAAAAATTTTAAACTAATTCGATCATTAACTAAAAGAAATCGAGTAGAAGTTTAACATTATATTGAAAAACAATATCTTTTCGTGTGCATTAGTCGTCATTCCTAAAAAATGAATCATCATTATTGATTTTGTAACCTAACTATCGCGTCCATGTGAAAAGATAAAACACTATGCAGGGGAGTAAAACTCTCCTATGAGCTTGCTCGCATTGCCTGTTTGAAGTCCGTATAACGGAGAAGAACTTTGATAGGCTAACAGTCAACATAAAACTAACTAATTGAAGATAAATCTCACCATACAAATATAGCATGAGCAAATGATCAAACTGTAGCTTTGGTCAAAACCATGTGTATTTGTTTTAATAAATTCATAGAATATGTACAAAATTATTGAATTTAGAATCCGATAACTTAAAAAGTACTAGTATCTCAATACTCAAACGTGTAATCTTCAAATTTTGGCTCCACTACTGATTTTCTGTTGTGGCTACTTCCTAAAAGGGAAAGAACCTGAACATATAAAGAGGAATACTACTTGTGAGTTTAGTATTACCTTTTTTTTAACTCTCTAACGAGCATATTGTTTCTTCGAGTTAATGGTTAAAAAACACACCTGATTACTATTTCCTCTGCGTGTTTCATACTTCTACTATCCATTATTCCATTTACCTATCTAAACTATCACTCCCTTTGTATTAAAGACAGATCGGCGTTGAGTTAGCAAAATATTTGTTCCCAATCAATAACATGTGTTTGACCAACTCAACGTCGAGCTGCCTTTTAATACAAACTGAGTGATAGTTTAGCTAAGTACAGAGAACAATAGATAGTTGAGGTAAGAAACTATCTATTTCAACTCACGAAGAAATAAAACAATAGATTATCTCAATTTATGAAAAAGTGATAGTTTATTTTACCATTAACTCTATTTCTTTTGAGGACCAAAAATTATAAATTGTTGAGTTGATTAGTTATTTGACCATCATTAATTAGGCAATTAGCAAAGATCTCCTAATGTGATTAGCTGTTCGTTAAGTAATGGACCTTTTAGATCACAAAATTTTTATATAGGATTTCAAGTTAATTAATGGACCTTTAAAATACATAAACGTGTCAATCTTTCCGGGACTAACTAGAAAGTTTAGACTATAGTCATAACTTTGCCCGTATTGTCCTTATAGAAAGACCACAAATTTAAGGGGAAAAAATAAAAGATCATCCAAAATAGGGGCATTCGTCTGAATAATCCTAGTTCAGTCACATAAATTGAAACAGGGAAGTAGTAAAAACTGATTTCTCTTATTGCTGTATTAATTAATAGTTCATCAAATATGGTTGATCCAAACTTCATCTATATATATCTACTTCCATAAGATTATTGACTCAAAAAGTTTGTGCATTTTCCTTAACTAACTAATATTTAGGAAGTTGAACTAACAAATTAATAGAGTTGTCATATAATCCTTCTAATTTCCCTATATATACCCCTTTAGTAAAATGATCAAACTCACTCAAACTAAAACAGAACTTGCAACTTCCATTACTAACATAATTTTTGCGGAAAAAAAATAGTAATTCGTTCAAATTATCGACACAATGGCTGCTTATAGCAATTGCTCAATCCTCTTCGCGATCATAGCATTATTATCCTTATCAAGCATCACCACAAATCATGCTGCTCGTAGCCTACTACAACTTCCCAATTTGCCTACGATCCCCTCGTTGCCTAAACCAACAATGCCACAATTGCCTAATATTCCCAATTTGCCTACGATCCCCTCGTTGCCTAAACCAACAATGCCACAATTGCCTAATATTCCCAATTTTCCTGCAGCATTGCCAACACTTCCAACAGCAACACCATTACCATCTCTGCCAACATTGCCCTCTGTTCCAAAGATGACTCTGCCACCAATGCCTTCACTTCCCAACATGCCTGCGATCCCAACTATTCCAACACTTTCACCTCCTCCATCCAACTAATCTTTCGGCTTCCAACTGTGTGATTTTTACCTATTTATCCTATTGGTCTCTACCGTGTGTTTTTTATTTTGTAATTTTAATCTTATCGACGATGAATTGTATCATTTGTACTATTCTGAGTGATATATATTGATTTGTGTTAATCCAACGAAGTGTCTATTACTGATTCATGTGTATTTGTCATAAATTCCTACGGTTGTGACCTTGAGTTAACACTACAATAGTAACCGAGTTCATAGTTTAATAGCTTTTTAAATATATATTCAAGATCTGGGCAAAAGCTATTGTGTTCACGTGAACCTGTAACCAGGCATCTCTATCAGCCTATGGCTTGACGAGCAATTGAGTTGCCCAAAGAGGTCATAATATTGCAAGAACTAGTCCAAATTGTCCAGGGAAAGTCTCATCATCGACTAAGATTAATTATTGTCATTATTCTTCCTTCTTATTGAGCTGAATTTTCAAGAAATGTTGGAGCATTTTAGCCACCCCATTTGATGGATTCTCTCATCTATAAATCAACACAAGTTGTTCGTCTTTGGCATATGTCACTACAAAACATTAGCCTTTTTAAAAAAAATTACGAAACATTAGCATATTTAAATGAAATTCACATAATTTATTTAACCCTTTTCTCAGTAGTATAATCACTGCTAGTTCTCTAAATGAAATTCTATCTGATTGCACGCGGAAAAACGGTTATGATAAATTTGTTCATAAAAATATATGTAGTTGATTTTCGCGTATCAGGAAAATAAATTGGACAAATAACATACATGAATCAGTAATAGACACTGCATTGTATTAACACAAATAACAATCAATGTATATCCCTCAGAAGTGTAAATGATACAGTACATCATCGAGAATCACATAAAAGATCAAAATTACAAACAAACAAAAAACGCCGTGGAGACAAGTATGGTAAGAAAGATAAAATCACGCGGTTGGAAGCTGCAAGATTAGTTAGATGGAGGAGGTGAAAGTGTTGGAATGGTTGGAATTTTGGGAAGTGATGGCATGTTGGGCAGAGGATTCGCGGGCATGGGAGGCAGAGTCATTTTAGGGACAGAGGGCAATGTAGGCAAAGAAGGTAAAGGTGAATTAGCTGTTGGAAGTGTTGGCAGAGATGTTACACTTGGCAATGGTGGCAATGTTGCGGGCAAATTTGGAATATTTGGCAATTGTGGCATTGTTGGTTGAGGCAATGACGGGATCGTAGGCAAGTTGGGAAGTTGCAGTAGGCCACGAGAAGCATGACTTGTCGATATGCTTGATAAGGACAATAATGCTACGATCAACAAGAGTCCGGTTGAGCAGTTGCTTGAAGCAGCCATATTTGTTGTAATTTGCAAGATTGCTTTGTTTATTGGGATATGAAGTTAAGGATATAAGTTGGAAATTTGAGTGAGTTTGATCATTTTCTAAAGGGGTATAAATTTGGGAAAGTTGTTGAAAAACTAACAATATTGGTGTATGAGATGTTTGGTGTGAAAGCATAACAACTCTATTGTTTGTTTTTAATTTTGCTAATACTAGTGTCTTCTAATAGGACTGTTGTCTATTGATCCTTCTAATGTTGTTCAACTACTTAGGAAATATGTTTGCTAGCCTAATAATTAAATGCTCAAATAACTAATCTGCTCAACAATATTTTGAAGTTCAACACATTTGGTTAAACAATCAACAAGGAAACCAAGTTAAGGGAAGAGTCTTTTTTCACATGGACCGATCGTTGTTGGGTGAAAGTCTATCCGCACTGGATGTTTACACAAAACCAATGAATGTAAGATATATGTGTTGCATATACACTTTTTTAACATTTAACTATGGTTAGGTGATATGCCTTTTACTTTGACAATTGTTGATTCCTAAGGTTAATTGTTTAGTTAGGTATAAACATCTGGTACGGATAAGTATTTCCTCAAACCAACATTCAAGAAGGTTAACTAACACCTAACATCTCATCCAATTATTGCATATAGTCCTAAAGAACTTCCACTATATAAACCCTATAGAGATGATTAAACTCAAATCAAGTCAAAACACACCATAATTTCCTTGTAAAACAAAGCCATCTAAGCAAATTATACAACAATGGCGCCTTCTAGCAATTGCTCAATCCTCTTCGTGATGATAGCATTATTGTCCTTATCAAGCATCACCACAAGTCATGCTGCTCGTAGCCTACTGCAACTTCCCAACTTGCCAACGATCCCCTCGTTGCCTCAGCCAACAATGCCACAATTACCCACTATTCCCAATTTACCAACAGCAGCCACATTGCCACCATTGCCAAGCATTACATCTTTGCCAACACTTCCAACAGCTAGTACACCATTGCCATCTTTGCCTACGTTGCCCTCTGTCCCGAAAATGACTCTGCCTCCAATGCCTGCCAATATTCCTCTTCCCAACATGCCATCACTTCCAAACATTCCCACAATTCCAACACTTTCACCTCCTCCATCCAACTAATCTCGCGATTTCCCACATTTTACCTTTCTTACCACATTGTCTCTACCATGTGATGTTTTTCCTGTTCTTTTTTCATTTGTAACGCCACATCTTATCATTTGTACTCTATATATATGAGTGTTGTGTGTTGATTATACAGAAAAAAAGACTTAGTATTACTGCGATGCAGTGTTTATTCTCTTCCGTTATACATGTGTATTTATCCGTATATCAAATATCAACCTAAATTGCATTTTTCGAACAAATTGGATCATAACACATGATTTTTTTTAAAACTAATTCGATTTTTAACTAAAAGAAATCGAGTAAAGAAGTTTAACACTATATTGAAAAACAACATATTTTCGTGTGCATTAGTTTTGTAACCTAAACTATTTGCGTCCATGTGAAAAAATAAAACACTATGCGGGGGAGTAAAACTCTCCTATGAGCTTGCTCGGATTGCCTGTTTGAAGTCCGTATAATGGAGAAGAACTTTGATAGGCTAACAGTCAACATAAAACTAACTAATTAAAGAGAAATCTCACCATACAAATATAGCATGAGCAAATGATCAAATCGTAGCTTTGGTCAAAATCATGTGTATTTGTTTTAAGAAATTCATTGAATATGTACAAAATTACTAAATTTAGAACCCAATAACTTAAAAGGTACTAGCATCTCAATACTCAAACCCGTAATCTTCAAATTCTGGCTCCAATTCTGATTTTCAGTTGTGACTACTTCCTAAAAGGGAACGAACCCAAACATATAAAGAAGAATAGTACTTGTGAGTTTAGAATTACTATTTTTTAGCTCTCTAACGAGCATATTGTTTCTTCGAGTTAATGGTTAAAAACACACCTGATTAACTACTATTTTTTTGCGAGTTTCATACCTCAAATATCCATTATTCCAGTTACCTATTTAAACTACAACTCCCTTTGTATTAAAGACACCTCAGCTGAGTTAGCCAAATATTTGTTCCCAATCAATAACACGTATTTGACCAACTCAGCATTGAGGTGTCTTATAATACAAATGGAGTGATAGTTTAGGTAAATGAAGAGAACAATAGATTGTTAGGTAAGAAACTATATATTTCAACTCACGAAATAAAACAATAGATTATCTCAATTTACGAAAAAGTGATAGTTTACGTGTGTTTTTTTACGATTAACTCTATTTCTTTTGAGGACCAAAAAACAAATTGTTGAGTTGATTAGTTATTTGACCATCATTAATTAGACAATTAGCAAAGATCTCCTAATGTGATTAGCTCTTCACCCCACCTACCCACCCACACACCTTTTTCTAATGGTATTTCAGTGAAATTATGCGTTTACTGTTGGTTCGAGAGTTGACAAGTTAATTAATGGACCTTTTAGATCACAAAATTTTTATATAGGATTTCAAGTTAATTAATGGACCTTTTAAATACATAAACGCGTCAAACTTTTTGGGACTAATTAGAAAGGAAAGTTTAGTCAAAACTTTTGCCCGTATTGTCGTTATTGAAAGACCACAAATTTAATGGGCAAAAATAAAAGACCACCCCAAAATAGGGGCATTCATGACCGTAGTGCAGTCACATAAATTGAAACGGAGGAAGTAGTAAAAACTGATATCTCTGATTGCTATATTTATTATTAAATCAACAAATATGGTTGATCCAAACTTCATCTATAAATAACTACTTCCATAAGATAATTGACTCAAAAAGTTTGTGCATTTTCCTTAATTAACTAACATTTAGGAAGTTGAACTAACAAATTAATAGAGTTGTCATATAATCCTTCTAATTTCCCTATATATACCCCTTTAGTAAAATGATCAAACTCACTCAAACTAAAACAGAACTTGCAACTCCCATTACTAACATAATTTTCGCGAAAAAAGTAGTAATTGATCAAATTATCGACACAATGGCTGCTTATAGCAATTCCTCAATCCTCTTCGCGATTGTAGCATTGTTATCCTTTTCAAGCATCACCACAAGTCGTGCTGCTCGTAGCCTACTGCAACTTCCCAACTTGCCTACGATCCCCTCGTTGCCTAAACCAACACTGCCACAATTGCCTAATATTCCCAACTTCCCTGCAGCATTGCCACCATTGCCAACACTTCCAACAGCAACACCATTACCATCTCTGCCCACATTGCCCTCTGTTCCGAAGATGACTCTGCCACCAATGCCTTCGATGCCTTCACTTCCCAACATGCCTGCAATCCCAGCTATTCCAACACTTTCACCTCCTCCATCCAACTAATCTTTCGGCTTCCAACTGCGTGATTTTTACCTATTTTACCCTACTAGTTTCTACTGCGTGTTTCTTTGCTTTTTCTTTTGTAATTTTCATCTTTTATGTGATTCTCGACGATGTATTGTATCATTTGTACTATTCTGAGTGATATATATTGATTTTGTTAATCCAATGCAGTGTCTATTACTGATTCATGTGTGTTTGTCCATGAATTCCTACAGTTGTGACCTCGAGTTAACACTACAATAGTATCCGAGTTCATAGTTTAGTAGGTTTTTAAACCTATATAGGATCTGAGCAAAAACTATTGTGTTCACGTGAACCTATATCAGGGCATCTCTATCAGTCTCTGGCTTGCAGAGCATTTTAAATTGCCCAAACAGGTCATAATATTCCAGGGAAATAAATACATAAACGCGTCAAACTTTTTGGGACTAATTAGAAAGGAAAGTTTAGTCAAAACTTTTGCCCGTATTGTCGTTATTGAAAGACCACAAATTTAATGGGCAAAAATAAAAGACCACCCCAAAATAGGGGCATTCATGACCGTAGTGCAGTCACATAAATTGAAACGGAGGAAGTAGTAAAAACTGATATCTCTGATTGCTATATTTATTATTAAATCAACAAATATGGTTGATCCAAACTTCATCTATAAATAACTACTTCCATAAGATAATTGACTCAAAAAGTTTGTGCATTTTCCTTAATTAACTAACATTTAGGAAGTTGAACTAACAAATTAATTAGAGTTGTCATATAATCCTTCTGATTTCCCTATTTATACCCCTTCAGTAAAATGATCAAACTCACTCAAACTAAAACAGAACTTGCAACTCCCATTACTAACATAATTTTCGCGAAAAAAGTAGTAATTGATCAAATTATCGACACAATGGCTGCTTATAGCAATTCCTCAATCCTCTTCGCGATTGTAGCATTGTTATCCTTTTCAAGCATCACCACAAGTCGTGCTGCTCGTAGCCTACTGCAACTTCCCAACTTGCCTACGATCCCCTCGTTGCCTAAACCAACACTGCCACAATTGCCTAATATTCCCAACTTCCCTGCAGCATTGCCACCATTGCCAACACTTCCAACAGCAACACCATTACCATCTCTGCCCACATTGCCCTCTGTTCCGAAGATGACTCTGCCACCAATGCCTTCGATGCCTTCACTTCCCAACATGCCTGCAATCCCAGCTATTCCAACACTTTCACCTCCTCCATCCAACTAATCTTTCGGCTTCCAACTGCGTGATTTTTACCTATTTTACCCTACTAGTTTCTACTGCGTGTTTCTTTGCTTTTTCTTTTGTAATTTTCATCTTTTATGTGATTCTCGACGATGTATTGTATCATTTGTACTATTCTGAGTGATATATATTGATTTTGTTAATCCAATGCAGTGTCTATTACTGATTCATGTGTGTTTGTCCATGAATTCCTACAGTTGTGACCTCGAGTTAACACTACAATAGTATCCGAGTTCATAGTTTAGTAGGTTTTTAAACCTATATAGGATCTGAGCAAAAACTATTGTGTTCACGTGAACCTATATCAGGGCATCTCTATCAGTCTCTGGCTTGCAGAGCATTTTAAATTGCCCAAACAGGTCATAATATTCCAGGGAAAGTGTCATCATCAACTAAGATTATTGTCATTATTCTTCGTTTTTATTGTGCTAAATTTTCAGGATATGTTGGAGCATTTTAGCCATCTCATTTGATGGATCGTTCATCTATAAATCAACACAAGCTGTTCGTCTTTGGAATAAATCACTACAAAATCTTCCTACCTTATTATAGAGTATTGAGTTTGATGAGATACGCGAGTCCAAGCTGAGAGACCTGGTCGGTAATAGACTTAAAGCTAGTTGAAGAAGCTAAAATGAAAACTAAAACAACAAGGGATTTTACATGGAAACCTACTTGCTCAAGGGAGGACAAAACCACGACTTGTCACACAGGGTAATCAACTGCTTTCACTATCTTCAAGCAACAAGTGAATACAGACTCCAAATACACATACAGAGATTAAACTCTTAATCTCACCACCTGTAATAACTCTATTACAAGAAGAACCAAAGCAATACCTCTATTGCCCACTATATTAACTAACTCTAATTAATATAGACTTCGATCACACACAACATAGTCAACTGTAACAATACTCATTGTTTGTTACCACAGCTAAGACTGAATGCGTTTCTTTATAGCTTTAGAAACGGATCTTACAAGTTCAACACAACACAAGCTTCCAGTAATAACCCACACTTGATAACTCTATCAGATCCCTAGAGATTCTTGAAAGCATAAGTTCTTCAGAGACAAAAATCGCCTTTTTGAGTGTGTATGTGTAATGTCTTGACTAGGTTGTTTTTATCAAATGAGGATATATTATCCTCTGAGTAAAACAACCTAGTGTTCTCCTATTGGACGAGTGGCAGCCTTTACAGTTGTTCACCATTCGACCATGGAGACATGCTCAACCATGGAACCAAATAGTTTGTGAGTATCATCAAAACCTTGAAATACAACAGTTTTTTTTTCTTAATGAATCTTTATAAGTTTTTGTGCTTAGTATATCTGTTGAATCCAGAGCTACATATGTATCGGATGAAATATCTCTAAGGACAATGTCTTTGACACGCCTTAACTTTGAAGAATTTCCTACAGTATTCGTGATCAAGTATTTTTTTTTCCATAAGATTTTCAACAAAAACCATTAAAATGTGTTTCTCTCTTTCGCCAAA